TCCAACTCTTTTTCCTCTTTTTCGGCTAAGCCGGAGCCGAGAAGAAAGAAACGTTCTTCATTTCCCTCCTGGACGAGGATTTTCTTTAGTGCCTCTTCGCTCTTCTCGGCTGGTTATTTACCGACGTCTTCTAGGACTTCCAAGTCCTCATCTTCAATTTCTGCCTTCTCTGGCTCTCGCACGCTGCAGGTAGATTTCATTGCTGCCATGGAGCAACTCTTCGCTTGTAGCTGATCGCCTCTAACTTCCTCTATCCCATGCTCTGTTGGGAATCGCAGTAGTTGATGCAATGTTGAGGGAACTGCCCCCATTGCATGCAACCATGGCCTTCCCAGGATGATGTTGTATGGCGAAGGCGTGTCAATCACCATGAATTCTGTCTTGATCTTTTTAGTGCCAGCTTGTACTTCCAAGCTTGTTGCGCCCAGTGGCCACGTTGGCGTTCCATTGAAGCCGACCATCGGGCCGTTGGATTGCTCCAAGTCATCAGGATGAAGGCCCAGTTCCTTGTAACATCTAACATACATGATGTCGTAAGAGCTGCCTTGATCAATCAAGATGCGTTTCACTTGGCACTCCCCAACCTGGAGGGATACTACCAAGGCATCATTGTGCGGGTGCTGGACCATCTCTAGGTCGGCTTCAGTAAGGGCTATCGTTGGTCCCTGGCATTCTTCAGGCCGAGGTCTTTTATGGCCGACCTGGTTCACGTGCAGTAGGTGTTTTACCTTCTGGGTCTCTCCACGTATGTCGTTTTCGTTCACCTTTGAGTGAATTACATTAACCACCCGCGGTCCTCCTGCCTGTGGTTGCTGAGCTGGGGGAGGCGGAGCTGCTAATGCTTGAGGCAATCTTGCATGTTCTTCTCTAGTCCTGGCCTCATCAACAAGGTCCCTCAGATGTCCTTGCCTTACCAAGTCTTCTAAGTGTGCTTTTAGGGCTCTGCAGCCCTGAGTTGGGTGCCCTTCTTCATTGTGGTAAGCACAACGCCTACCGACGTTTCTTCCCATGAATTCCCCTGGTGTTCTTGTCGGTCCTCTAAAATAGGGTTGGTTTCGTATTTGATCCAAGACTTTGTGGATCGGGACTCGGAATATAGTCATTACTGCCTGTTTAGCCCTCAATTCTGTTTCTTGTTTGGTTGGTCCATTGTTACCTCGGCTTCGCTTCGGCGAGCCGTTTCCTTTCTCCTGCTTTGTTTCTTTATTTCCCGACGCATCCTCCTCGGCTCTGGCGTACTTCTCGATTCTCGCCATGAGTTCTTCCATGCTTTTTGGCGATGTCTTTGCCAAAGACTTCCGTAGTGGGCAGTCATCTTTCAGGCCGTTCTTGAAAGACACGACTGCCACCTCTTGGTTGCATTCGGGTATTCGATTGAACACCTCGTAGTACCTTTTTGCGTAGGCCCTAAGGCCTTCATCCTTGGTGATTTTTAAAGCCATCAGTGCATCAACCCTTAAGGGCTGTAGTTTGTTTGTCACAAACCTTGCCACAAATATCTCGGCCAGGCCTTCCCAATCTTCACGCTTCCCTTCGGTAGTTTATGGAACCAATCTGATGCAATCTCCCCGAAGGATGAGGGGAATACTTTGCAGAGCAACGGTTCGTTCCCACTGTATAATGCCATTGAATTCAGATATAGTCCAACATGAAAATTAGGATCTGACTTACCATCATATATTTGGAACCTCGGCATACTGAATCTCTTTGGTGCTTCAAACTTGTCCAGTTCCGCCGAGAATGGTGTCTTCGGCTTAACCGGGGAAGTTACCTTCAGCTTCCGCTTTCTGTTGTTTCCTCTTGAGGTAATCTCTCAAGTCTTCTTTACTCCTCCCTGGAGCTCGGCTATCTTTGGACTTCAATCTTTTCGGCACACTACTTTCAGCCTCGTGGTGGGCTCGTTTTGATCTCTCTCCATGTGTTGTGTCAAAACAAAGCGCCTGCCCTTGAACATGCCGATGTTCTTTGGGTTCTGGGTCCTTCGTGTGATACGTTCTTCGGGACTCCTCTCGTCCGCCTTCCCTGGAAGGTCGGTGAGCGTACCTTCCGCTCCTGGTGTGCTGAGGGACTTCGGGGATTGTTCTTCTTCCTCCCTTCTGGGTGTTAGTTGCTGGCATCGGCGTATCCTGCAGCGGGTATAGTGGCTGCATGACATTGTTTTGCATCATGAAGTTGACTACTGACTGTAGGTCTGCCAACTTGTTTGCCAAGTCTTTTACTTCCTCATCCCTCCGTAGGCACCTATCCCTCCATACCTGAAGGTTATCTTCTTCTTCCTCCCTTCTGGGTATTAGTTGCTGGCATCGGCGTATCCTGCAGCGGGTATGGTGGCTGCATGACATTGTTTTGCATCATGAAGTTGACGACCGACTGTAGGTCTGCCAACTTGTTTGCCAATTCTTTTACTTCCTCATCCCTCCGTAGGCACCTATCCCTCCATACCTGAAGGTTATCTTCGTTATAGTACTTGCTTTGGTCTGTCCTCTTCGAAGTGTCGCCCTCCTGGCCGACGTCTTTCTCTCCGTGGCCCTGGTCATGAGCTTCTGCATTATGGTTGTCTCCTTCAACGTCAAGGTCAATTGGTCTGCCACTCCCAATAGGAGTGTCGCCCCCAATGTTTTCCTTTTGTCCGTTACTGGCTATCTATTCTTCTAAGTTCCCACAGACGGCGCCAAATTGTGTGAGTGATTTTCTGATCACACTGCCCGTTTAGTAATCAGCTTGAGAGCACTGGTAAAATAGATGGCTTCAGTTATCCTGCAACAGAAAGAAAAAGCTCCGGCGATGGCTCTTCCACCCGGGGGCACTTCGACGATCAAGTCAGTATATCTCTCAAAGATAATCAAGTGCTAAACTTAATGCTTAGAATATAAATTGCGTACCTTAGACCCACGGGAGTGCCTCTCTTTTATAGTTCACTTAATCCTAGTCCCACAGGAAGCCTGTCTTCTATGGACTCCAATTCAGTACTTACTTTGGACTCTTCAAGAGATAAAGATAACCTCCCTAAGAGTTTTATCCTCATTTTAACTAAGTCTCCTCTTTTACCTAGGACTCTTATCCCTTATCTTTTATCTTCTTATCTCGGATTCCGATATCTTCGGAGATAACCTCGGCATGCCGAGATAACCTCGGCGTCATGACCAAGACACATGGCACCTCGGCTGACACTTAATCCTAGTCCCACAGGAAGCCTGTCTTCTATGGACTCCAATTCAGTACTTACTTTGGACTCTTCAAGAGATAAAGATAACCTCCCTAAGAGTTTTATCCTCATTTTAACTAAGTCTCCTCTTTTACCTAGGACTCTTGTCCCTTATCTTTTATCTTCTTATCTCGGATTCCGATATCTTCGGAGATAACCTCGGCATGCCGAGATAATCTCGGCGTCACGACCAAAACACATGGCACCTCGGCTGACACGTCGGCGTCACCTTGCCACGTGTTGGTATTCAGAAAATATATCCCCACAATAATATAATCATTATACCTTTTCTTTACCACTTGATGAACTTCTTGGTGATGATGAAATCTTCGTTTGGCATTGATTTTTTTAGCTGATTTTTTTGTGTTAGAATTTTTTTAGCTTGACTTTTTTTAACCTCATTCGATTTGATTTTTTTAACTTTTGTAAGAAAAATAATATAATGATTATGATTTAGATGTGACATTTTGTCTTATTAACTTATGTAGCTAATTTTGCCTTTGTGTTTTTTTTTTGGGCTAAAAATCTAAAACCAAAAGAAGCTGAAGAGGAGGAGCAAGAAAAAGAGCTTATTGAAGCTCCTTTCACCTACTTGAACACCTCCGTGCCTTCGGTGAGAACAAGTACGGATCTATACATGAAACCTCCACTCAATAAACTTGATTTTTGTTGTTTTTGTAGATGAGGCGAAGACGGAGAAGGCGATAAGGTGTTGATGTCGGCGTTGGCGAGGGTTAGGGTTTCACACTTCTTTACATTTTCTCTCTCCTCTAGCAGATCTGAGTTGTTTTTTGATCTGAGTGCTGTTTTGGGCGATTCGGTGGCTACAGTGGCGATTGTGGAAGAGGTCGCCTCCGTAGGCCTTGCCGTGAGGAAGAGAAATCAAGGTCAGTCGATCGGATCAGAAACAGAGAGAGAGTTGGAATGAAAAAGAAGTGGCGGAGGCAACATCCATGGCCACCGCCACAGCGGCAGTAGTGGGGACCAAGCCACGGAGGCGGCGAGGCTGAAAGTGAATGAAGAGAGAGAAAGAGAGAGAAAGCGATTGAAGAGGAAAGAAAAAAGAGAGAGAGGAACCGTGACTTGTTTTGGGGTTTTGGAACAGTGCAATGAGATATATATTTCTAACATTATTAAAAACTGCTAATTGACTTAATGATTTATTAATAATAAGGACGATTTGTTATGAAATTAAAAATCTCAAGGGATGAAATGTAAATTTCAAAATCACAAGATTCGTATTTTAATTAAATCTCAAGAGACGTATTTGTAATTTATCCATTTAAAAAATTATGATAGATTAATATTTGCTTAACTTGTGAATATTATGAAAATAATTTGTATGAAAGATTATTATTTGCTTAACTTGTGAATATTATGAAAATAATTTGTTTGATGAACATGTTACTATTATTTTTAAAATTTATGATAAGTAAATTTTTTTGTAAAATGTTATGTAATTTTTTTATAAATAAATTATGTAAAACCATGATTCTAAATTAATAAACACCACCCTTACATCCCTTGGTAGCGCGGCTGATAAACAATCGTAACTTACGGAAACAGATAAAAGCTCTTGTTGAATATTTTGTACAAAAATATGGCACAATTTTTTTTTTAACAATATTTATAAATTAAAAAAAAAAAGATTGATGTGACATGCAATAATAGAACATTAATCTTTGAAATAAAATATACTGAAATTAAAGGATGAAGACAAAATCAGCTGTCACATAAAAAATTTGATTCCTAAACTACTTCCCCACCCCACCCATCTCCCCCAAAAATCAATTGATTTCTGTTTTAGAATCACTACTTTATTTTTTCATCTTTAAATAAGAAGACAGTCTACAAAAGGATATTTAGGGAGGAAAGAACAACAAACAGAAGAAATACTTAAATGGACTCGAAAACTCAGCTCCCTCCCAAATTCCTTTGTAACAAAACATTCTACACAAGTCAGACAACTATAGTACACTCGCCACCAATGATGGCACTGGATGGATACACGAGGCGGATAAAATCAAAGAATCACCAAATTTGCCACAGACGAAGACATCTCAAGTACTCTTTCTCCAAAGGATATAGTTAGTGGTTGTTGAAGATGAGGCAGCTCCGATCAACAAATTTCACTGTCTTCCTTAGGGAGAGTGCAGCCATGAAGATATGAATGAAAGAATTGTCCATTACCAAATTATTAACCAATCTGCTGCAATTTCTTTTCGCTGTCTTCATCTTAATTCTAAAACCCCACTTCAGATATCACTGTCCAGTCCACTCTCTTAACAGAGTTAATGGGAACAAGAAGCTACCTCCCTCTGGAAGGTCTTCTGCGAAACATTAATTATGTACAACTCAGTCATCCAGCATTGCCAGCAACCTCAGCAGCCCGTTGCCTCATCATCTCCATCACTGCTGCCCTTCGCCGGGAATCAGACTGCTGTTGCAACCTCCTCACATGTTCTTTCAAATCTCTGAATTAATGTCAACATATATAATATTTATGACAGGTCTAACAAGTAAAGCCACCAGAAACAAGGAGAGGAAAAGAAAAAGGAGAGGGACTGTGGCACTTCAAAGTTTGTAAATAGGAGGACATTCATATACAAACCTGCAACGTGGTACGTGGCACTCAGATTCCTTGCAAGCTCGAGCATGAAGTTGAAGAAGATACCACATTTTCTTGCAGAGAGGACACCCTCCAGACGCACGTGTTTTGCATTGCATCCCATGTCGGAAAAGACCCTTCACCTTGCGACAATTTGGATATTGACAATGAGGAGAACGACACTGAGACGCATGAACCAGGAGGTCGAGCATTTTCCTAAGCTGCGACATCAAATAATCAAATCATGCCAGGCCTCAAGTAGAAAACATACAACTCTTTTGAATCATTCTATCAATACCTTAAATAGCAAGGAGTGATGGAAGTTGTAGGGTAAATGGACCTACAGATTGAGGCTACTGACAAAACACTGAAGATAACCTTTTATTGGGGGGATTGTGGTCTAAACACTAAAAAGAACCTTTCTTTTTATAGGTAAGTGAACGAGATTTGAACTAGTCTTTTTATTGGAGAAATGTGGTCTTTTGATAAATAAACGAACTTTATAAAAAAGTATCAAGACGATGCAAAGAATACATGGAAAATAGCAACCCAGAATGGACTGCAAAAGCACACGATCTAAGCAAATCCTCCACAAAATGTATAAAAGTCAACACATCAGGATCAACTGAACTGGTAACCCAATTATGCAATATCATAAGAAGCCTACTTTCTAACCAAAGAAAGGAATGGCACATGTTCTAAAATACATGCCTATTACGCTCCAACCAAACCAATCACAACAAACAATGGGAAGCAAATAACAAAGCCTTCTGGGGCCTCTTACCTGCCCCCCTCCCCCCAACAACTGAGCAATACTTCCAACACCTATCCTGGTTGCACCCAAACCAACCCAAAAAGAGCAACCACCCTACAGCAAAGCCATGACACCACCGGGCACTGCAAAAGCAAATGATCAACCGTTTCCGCATCTCTACAACACAAACAACACCAATTGACCAACACATGCCTCCGCCGGATCAAATTATCAATAGTAAGGATACAGCGCAAAGCAGCTATCCAAACAAAAAAGGCTACCTTGGAAAGAGAACCCGTTGCCCAAATACCTTTCCAAGGAAACACACCACCAACACCCCCGGCAAGCACCCCATAAAAAGAGGACACTGTGAAAACACCTTTAAAACTCTGGACAACCCAGACCATAGAATCCATCCCATCCCTTCTGCAACCCATACAAAAAACCTAGTAGATCCACCAATTGGTCTAGCTCCCAATCCAGTACAGCACGACGAAGACGAACATTCCAAACAACTGATTGCCCTTGCTTCCCCCTAACCGAAGCAACCAACTCCTCCCCATCAGCGGCAATAGCATAAATCGAAGCGAACATGGCCGCCACAGTCAAGCCATCACAACACCGATCTTGCCAAAAGCGAACTTGATCAGCAACCCCCACTCTAAACCGAACCCTCTCCCAAAAAACCTCCCTCCCCAACCAAATCCCCTACCACAAAACATCCCAGATAAGCAGAACCTTTTATAATAATCAACCACACAGAATGATATCCACATCAAGAGCTAATATCCGCTCACAACAGTTAGAAAATATATTTAAGGCTCAAATATATAAACTTGCATCAAGATGTGGACAAAGGAATATGCTCCAAGATAGCCTTAAGGCTCAAGTCAACTAAAGGTCATGCCCCCCCACGTGACATCAGTGTATTCCTCAAAACTCTGTTTTGTTTTATGCATAACACATGTCACATGTCTACTAAAAAATAGATGTGGTGCTCATCACAGCACATGAGAGGATCTGATCCCAATTTATGAATAATTGACAGCTAAATAAGTTTTTGAGCAGCCCTATGACCTTTCCTCATCAAAAAGCTTTATACAACATTAAAAGGCCTTAAGATACAAATAATATACTTATAAAAAATGTATACAACCTTATAATGGTTTGTAAAATGCACTGAGTTGTAACCCAAAAACTGAATTTTGAAAGTTGCAAGACAAACTAATTTTCCAATCACCATCCCTTCCTTGCTCCTACAAGAAAGGCTTTTAGGCTTTCCTCATAAAGGAAAAAGGACATGACATTTTCAATTGTCACTTCTTTATGACATCAACTGGAACTACAATGTCTCCCAGCGTAGTACTATATTTTCTATTTCTCATCGGACTTCTTCTATGAATTTCCCACAAAAAAATTAAAAAATTAAAAAAAAATGGAGAAGAAGAAGAAGAAGAAAAAAGAAATAAAGAACGACCGAACCACAAAAAACAGAAAGTGCCAACAAGACAAAAAGAAATTCAATAACTAAGGGGAAGTAAAAATTTATAAAGAAATTCAGAAGGAAAAAAAAAAAAAACCTGTAAAACTCGTAGTTCCCTAGCTTCTGTGTTCTGTGCATCACGCTCAGCTATGGATGGATGATTAGTCAACTTATGAGGATGATCAATTCCTCCATCCTTTTGATAACAATCATTGCATACATCATAATCAGGGCAGATCTCACAGCGCCAACCTTGGCCGGCTTCAATGTCAAGATGACATACATTGCACGTTATCACAAATGCAGGAGCAGTTGGATTGTGAAGATGGTAAAGGACCATCATAGAGGAATGTTTAGCTCGGCGGAGCGTATCATACTGGTAATGATTTCCTTGACAAAGACTCAAAAATGCCTGTCTTGTATCAAAGAATTCGCTCTCAAGAATCTCATCTTTATCCTTGGTATCTTCAGATACATCATTGATTTCAACCTGCAAGGTTTAATCATCTCACTTCTAAATCGGGATAGTCACAAAGTAACCATGCATCAATAATTAAATAGAGCTCACTGTACGATGACAAACAAGTAAACTCACAGATATCAAACCTTACCGGATAAAGTACATGTTTGTCCCTCTGATTGATAGGATGTCTGTCTCTCTCTTCAAGCTTTTGTTCAGCTTCATAACACCTGTAGGCGTATAAGCCCAAACATCAAATGCAAATTGTAACCAGTCATAGCAAAAAATCGAGATTAAAGAATACATTACGTTACAAGAACCATTAACTGATGATCCAGATGAAACCCCAAAAAATTCAACAATTACAAATTTTCTATCAAATAGGCACCACTACATCAAGGATGCAGAACAAACAGTCCATGGACCGTATGAAGCCATAACCATAGATGAATACATTTGAATTTTCACATTTAAGGAATTAAGACATTTTAAAGAATTGATTTCTTTAACTGGAATCACTTCAAAAGGAGAAAGAAGTAGATGGGGAAATTGAAGGCCTTGAATCATGTCCACAACAGGAGTGCAATGTCTTACCCTGCCAGTTCTCCTGCTAAATTCTTATTATTATTATCATTACTATAACTGTTTATTGTTATTATTAGTATTATAATGCCAAAAAAGTTTAAAATGCACAAAATTGTAGAAGAATCCAAGTTAAGGAAAAGGAATGTGAGGTTGACAATAGAACTAAGTTCTGTACAAACAAATTTAAAGAAGAACTAGAAATCAGGAAGACTAATTGATTTTCAGTGCAACAGAAGCGACAATAATAAACTGCCTTCTCCACTTATGCTCTCTCAATCTTCATCTGTCTCAGTTTTTGCAGATCCATTAGGTTTGCTTGTGGAAACTTAAGACACTAGTTGAGGCCTCATAATCAAATACTTACATTAAAGACAACACAAAGGCACAAAGTCATATCTGTGTCCATTGCATTTTACCTCATTTGAGATAATGCAGTAGTTCATAAGCCTAGTTGGCTAATGAAAATATTTCTTTTCGTTTTTCCTTTTCTATAGAATTATTTTGTAATCATACAGGGTAGTTTTGCATATCTAGAGGGAAAAGAAAAACAATACAAATTTCACTGAATTATATTATTTATTTTGTAATTTTCTTGGCAGTCGTATTGGTTTAGCAATTTGTAAGCCATGTTTGTTCATGTTTATATTGCTTTTCTTTCAGTTACAGAGTATTTATAATTATTATTGGTTTATCAACAAATAATTTTGTTCAAATGGACATTTCTATATCCATACACACGAGATTTTGGAATCTCAACCGATCTATGACATCAGTGTTCCAAGGCCTTGCCTTAAATTCAGTTTCTCTTCCCTTTCCTTATTTCCATTTTTGATAGAGACATGGCTCCCAATGGCAACACAATAGCTATTAGAGAAATATGTGAATGAACCCATAATTAAAAAACTTACCACATAAAACTTGCGTGTACATGTACATATGTTTAGCAGGTCAAAAAATGTACAGTATTACAAACAATAATACAGCTCCGGTTCCAAAACTCTTACTTGTCACAAAGGTGAAAATTCTTGCACTGGTTGCAAACCCAACGATTTCCAGATACCATTAAAATACAGCAATGGGTGCATGCATGCTGCAAGTGAACCATGATAAAATCTTCCTTCATTGGGCAAATTGTTTCACCAAGCTGGACAAAATGGATAGCTTTTAAGAACAAGGGTAGCCAAACAAATAAATATTCAATTTCAAATTACCAAAACATATATACCACAGTACTCAACTCCCTAAATCCCCGATTATTTGGAGTCGGCTACAAGGATCTAATTTCTCCAGTTGGCTCAATTCAAAGCCATTAAAAGAAAAATAGTATAAAAAGGTTGTACTCAATGCACATACTCCCACGCCACAACGCTAGGGCAGATAGCACTTATGCTATTGTGACAGGTCACAACCTTTAAACTAAATATAAATAATATCAAAAACTACAATATTTTTTTTATGTATAACAGCAGCAGAAGATTTGTAATGTGAGTTTGCCACCAACGCAGTACGCAGGAAATGAAAAGAAAAATAGACAAATGACAACAATAACAACAATACAACAAAGTTAGAAATTGAACACAGATTAAGGAAAACTAAAGGAACATGTATTCACATTCATAGGCAAGGTTTCAAAAAGCTGTTGCAGTCACCATAATGGTAGCGGGAGTGCAGGTGCGGGTGCGGGGTGTAAAGGCCGTGTAGCATAACGGTTGCAGTAACCGGAACCGTGAATTATTTTATTTTTCACACAATTTGAAAAAAACTTGCCCGATACGCATATTTTTTTTTCCAGGATCACATTTATTGAGGTTTAAAATTTATTTTAATCAATTTTTGTTAATTTTTAAGAATGACCCAATATATTTCATATTTTTAAATCACTATAAAAGAAGTTTTTTACATTTTATTTCAATAGTTAATAATTTTATACGTCATAAGTCCATATTGTTCCTATAATTTTATTTATTTTTTAAGAATAATTGATTTTAAATGTCTACAAAATTATTTTTGACCAATACCTGAACTAGCTACATAAAAAATGTTTACAATTATTAAATGAAATGATTATAAAAATAAAAATTGAGACATGAACAAAAATTATTTTTGAGCAACCAAATATTGCAGAACGTGTATAATGTATATTTTGTAAGCTTTTTTATTTTTGAAAGAAAACTGTTCAGAATATTGTAAATGTTTGTAACGGTGTGTAACTGGGGCATTATGACCGTTACGGTACCGCTATGACCGTTACATGACACCGAAACCGCCGTTACACGTGTGAATTTCTGTCAAACTACAAAAGCGGATGTAACGGGTAGTGCCTACTGCAGCAACCATTACGTAACAGCCACAACTGTTACGTAACACTAGTTTTTGAAACCTTGTTCATAGGAAAATAACTAAATTGAGATATTGGATATTTGTATTACTTTGTGCATTAGTAACAAATCCTTTGATGCGTTGCCAGTAAGATCAGATTGACCAGATGCTTTCAGAGCCCTTTTTGTTATGATCTTTTTGGTTGTTCCTTTCTTATGTAGTTTTCTGCCATCTTCTTCCTGACGAAGCTGGTAGATAATATCTTCTGCAGCACCTGGCCAGTAGTCTCCATCAAAATAAGGTAACCGAGCTGCAGTCACCTTAGCCTTGCATTCCTCAGTGGATACAAAGAAATGGTGGTATAAATTTGTGAGCTCGACCACAATATTTTCCTTTGCAGCCTTTCTTAACATTGATAAGTACCTGAATTTTAAATTTTAAAAAAAAAAAAATTATCCATGTAAATCTGTGGCAGATAAAATCTTGCTTCATGATATGAACAACAGTAAAATGATCACACATCTAAACGCTATTTGCCTCACCACTCTCTGAGTTTATCAGATTTTGGTGTTTTCTGAATTTCTGGATGGCAATACAAAATATAGTCTTCACCCTTCAACGGAGGGCAAGCCCATATATAGCAACTTGTGAAACCACGTTTTTTGCAATATTCAAGGTATCCAATCTGAAAAGAAAATCAGACATACAATCGAGAAGGTTAATAAACAATGAGGCTAATGATGACAATAAAAGAAGCACCAGCACATCAACAAAATATATGAATAAGCAAACAAAAACAAAAAATAAAATAGCAAGTATGTAAACTTGCCAGAATTTCATGGTAAACGAATGTACGGAGTGCCTCTCCAGTCACTGCTTTAATCTCAGGCCTGAAATACTTAACAGAGTCCAGATATGAGAGATAAACGCGACGATGATTTGGCTGTTGGCACTCTGATCCGAATTCTTGAACATACATGCCAAACAGGCACACCTCCACGCCTTCAATTTTCTGAAATAACAATATGACCTGGAAGGGGGGAAAAATTATTATTTATTTCATAATTTAGCAACACCACAGATGACAGTCACCAGTGAAACACAAAATGCTCTTGAAAAAAGGACGCCAGTATTCCATGTCTTTCTACTTCAAGAGAACATTAAAGACTAAAAAATATTAGTGTATATCCAGCATACCTTGGATTTATATGGGAATTCTGTTGGATAATTATCTTCTTGAAAAATCTCAAGAAATCGCTGCTTAACTTCCAACTTCTTGTCAACCGATGACACGACTCTAACTACAAGTGCTTCTGCCCCTGGAGTCTGACAATACCAATGGTAAAATAGATTAGAAAAATTGGAATGGGCAGGCAGTCTGAATGCACACTATGCACATCAAACAAAAAGCTCAAGTTGTTAGAATTGCACCCAAATGTGTTGTGCCACAACTCAAATCAACGAACAGATATAAGCCACACACAAAAAAAAAAAAGAAGAGACAATAGTATGCAATATCACCAAGACTAGTCTTTTACAGTACACGGAATTTCAGAGAGAAAAGACTAGCGAGGTGAGGAATAAACCAACGTGGCTATTGCCAAATGTTAATTTGAAGCATCACCTACACTAGTCTTCTAAAAGAGGCCGATAAAAATGAGTCCATCAGCTAATCATATCACACACATGTGCATGTGTGCATATGTGCATATGTGCGTACACAGATAAAGAAAGTTCAACCAGAATAATTAATGCAGGGTTTAATAACTGATTAAATAGAATGAGACCCAATATTTCCAAAAGGAAATAGAACTGCCAAGCTTCAGAGGTTATTTATTCCCAAAAAGTAAGGTGAAACAGTTGATCCAATTTTTGAATTAAAATTATAAACTGTGCAAGTTTTTTGAAGTGTCCTTCACTAAACCTAATTGAGTTTCTTGAGCGTCTTATGAAGTTGAAATAATGGAATTTAAAACACAAAACATCAATTGTCACCCCACATAACATCATATGGAGAGTCAAAGGAATCACCTCATCATAACTCTTCCCCTGAAGTCTTGCCCTCTCTTGTTTTTCCTGCTTTAACCGCCTAAACAATCGTTGCTCTATGTGGTCACTGAGGATCGTTCTAGGCAAATCTTTCGCTCCAAGAACAGCACTCTGTGGTAAGGGCATACGCTCCCCTCTTTCAATTTCGGCTATATAGCAGTTTGGACAAGTATATTCAGCTTGCCCACCATCATTCCTTCGACCATTAAACAATGCACAGATTTGATGTTGCCAAGCCTCACACTTGTCACATTGAACCCACTGTATAAAATAAAGTAAAGATTAGATACATTAAAGCCCTTATAAGGAGCATTAAATATGGTAAACAAAGAAAGGATGTAACATACCCATTCTTCAGTCTCCTCGTCGTTTTTCTTCTTCTCCAGCCTTGCCTTCGGGATAGCAGTTCCATCAACTAGGATAGTATCTCCACGGGCCTCATTATAGCATGGAATGCAGAAGTAATGCCGCGTATCACCAGCTCCTATGGTATAATACATTGCATTTCTTTTAATGCGAGCACCACATGGCGAACAATATAAAGGTGGTGGCTCAAAAGTGAGCTTCTCAACTGCACACAACTGACATGAGTTCTCACTCATTGAATGCTCCATAGCTTGATTTTTTTCTGCCTTTGCTTTACTCTGTCAAAAGCAAAAAGTAGGAATAAAATCTCATCATCAAAAAAGAACACGACCAACTTCGCAGAAATGAAAAAGACAGAAACATACAATCAAAAAGAAGAAAAGACAACACTTATTCAAATTCATGCACAAAGTAACTTCTTTTTCTTTTTCTTTTTTTGATAAATAAACAGATGCATAAAGTAACTTTGGCATATGGGTTGAGCCAAATCTTGAAAATTTTCATTAACCATATGCAGGAAGTCCTGCCACATAACCTACCAACTTTAACTTAATAGATTGCAGAATAAATATTTATTAGATTGCTTACCAATACACGCAAACACATGGTTGTATGTATATGTGGACTCCTGCAGGTCCCATTATGGTGACTTTCTGTAACCACTTCCATTAACTTATGTCAGATGTTAAATTTATAAACTCTGATATTAATATTGAAGAGGTGAAATTTTGTTTGCTTATAAACTTACAGAGACTTGGTTTCTATCTCTTTACTCCTTTTAGACAAAATTTAATATATCCACTCAAAGATAATTAAACCAGATCTTAAATTTATAAACCAATGTTGTAGTGCTGATCTAATTAATAGCATCACATGTCACAAACTATGTGTGGTATCTAGATGCATTTAATTATACCTTCACAAAGCTAAATTAACTTGCAAATATATAGGAGTGTAATATGCTCAATTCGTCACTAAATTGCTATATGAATCTTTATTTGCTTGTACAGTTTGTGAGCTTCTAAATACATACATATGCGCAGACGTGTATATGTTTGTCTGTATACATGCATGCAAGAGTCAAAATTTTGTCTCGATGTATTGTTTCAATTAGCTTGGAAATAAAAACATTTTGGAAACATAAAAGAAACAACAAAAAGAAAAAAGAAAGGGGAAACATATGGAAATGTTTGGAAATAAAAATTAAACTCTATATAAATATTCACTCGTCAAGCTGACAACAGACAACAACGAAGTAAATTACACAGTGAATGTAGTTCTATGAAACACTCAAGCTCGCTTTGTAGACTACACTTGCTGCTTCCGAATGCTGGGTATATGCATTTGTTTTTTGGTTCTATTCCAAAGTCAACACCTCAATTGTCAAGCGTCAGTTGGCACTCGATACATTACCAAAAGCTTGTAGCTGCTCAGCCAAAGTTTTTAAAGGCGAATGCGTACCTCGAGGCGTTTTACCCTTCATAAGGCGAGGCGTAAGCATTTCAAATTTCAAATTTTAATATTTAGTAAATAAATTAAATATTTTAAAATACTAAAAAAAATAAAAACAATTAAATATAAAGGTGTAAATACTTTTCTCCTTAAGGTTTTGAGCATTCTACTACATAAAAGGAAGTTTTCCTTTACTGAAAGGGAAATTGATATGTCTTGACTTTAGTGATTGAGCTTCTCACTTCCCATTAACTGTGTTTTTTTTTATTGATCATTTACTTAATTTTTCCTATAGAATATAGTTGCAAAAAGGGTTTCTTTTTTTCTTTTTTTATGTTTAAACAATCTAATAGACTAAGTTTAACAAAAGCTCAAGGCAACATCTGCATGTGCGTGCGTACTCCTCACATGCTTATGCGCAAAAAGCGTACAAAGCGCACTTAAGGCGCATGTCTCAAACTGTGATACGCAAGCCATTCGGGAACAATGCCTAAAAATCAAAGCCTTGATGCATTTTACCTCAGCCTCGAGGCAAGTATCGAGGCAAGTCTCAAGAAAGCCTTTTAAAACCGTGTGCTCAGCTATATTATGATGAAGGTGAGGGGGTATTTCTTGAATGAAAGAGTATTCATATTATGCAGAGCTTCCCCTTTCAGCCAGTAACCTATGTTGAAAGAAAAGAATCTATGCTTGCGATAAGAAACTCAATCGACGGAGAGCAGGAAAGAGAGAAGGAATGAATTGTTTGATAGTTGCCTTGCTCACGTAAAAAAGAATGAGGGTGCGTGCAAATATGGCTTATACAAGCTAACTAATTGAACACATTGGAGGTCTACATATATCTTTACATAAGGGCACAAATAAACAATTTGAAAATAAATTCAACACGAACTAGGAATCATTAAATTAATGTCAAGCAAATCAATCTTATTAAGAATAAGTGTATACGAGTCTCTTTGCAATAAAGTTCCAACCTTAAAAAATTGACAAAAATATTTAAATATATATTTATTTGGGAAGTTGGGTTGGCTTTTTGGCTATTTTAGCCCCGGCTAAAAAGTTCGTTTGGGTTGACTTTTTTGGCTTTTTTGGCTTTTGTGAGAGAAAAAGTCCAATGATTATGACTTGGATGTGACATTTTGTCTTATTGGCTTTTTAACCTATTTTGTCTTTTTGTGGCTAATTTAGCCAAAAAGCCAAATTAACCAACATCCCAAACCAAAGTCCAAAGCACGATGCGAGAGGACCTTTGGGAAAACGGAGTTATACATTTTATTTTTTTATATTTTTTAAACAAGATGAAGAATAAAGTTTAACAGGTTAGGTAAAGAAAGGAGGTTCATAAGAAATGCTAAGAAAGTATGAATGTTAATATATATATGTATGTATATAAAAGGTAACTATAATAAAAAGAAAGAAAATAAGTGGCTTGACCATATTCACTTTCAATTCATCTCTCTATCTCCCCTCCTTTCCTTTTTACTTTCTTAGTTTATTTAATAAAAATTAAGATTTTTTTGTTCTCAAATATTTTCTTAACAAAAAAAAAGGTTAAATAGAAAAAACTCTTACTAGATAATAGGTGTCAAAACAACTCACTATTGTAGAATGCTTTGTAGTGTTTTTTTTTTTAATCCAACACAAAAAAAGAGAGTACTGGGGAATGTGCCATGAGGGGGCACAACCCACAACTAGAGAAAAAAAAAAGAAAACAATAAAAAAGAGAACAATAATGAGAAAACCATAAACCCTTAACCCAAAACCTCTTCCTGAGCACAATCAATAAAAATGGATCCCCATCGCACTCACCCCTAAACAAAACAAAATTTGGTTCCTTTTGTGTGTGCAATTTTTCCTACTAAAAGCATTGATAATCTGAGGCACATATGCTAGTTTTGTTCCAACTTTTCTAATACTCGCTACTAACAATTGCAGAACATTGCTTTATTTTGGATCCTGCTTAATAATGATACGAGGGCAACAAGATATACTACTACAAAAAAAATGTCAGTGAAAATGTGATGGTTCGGATTGTAACTTATTAAAATGAAGTTGTTTGTAACATCTAAAGTAAACCCACTCTCCTGGAAGGCAAGCAATACTTGTTATTTCTATCAAATATCTAATAAGTGACATTCATGCAAATTGCACACTCCATGCACCCAAGGGTAGAATGTATGCCAGTCAGCCTTCACTCATCCAGAAAAAAGTAACAAAATGAATGATCTTAAAGAAATATAACAAAGCAGATCCATAAACTGACCTGGCCAACCCACTGCCTCAGACCTGTAATATGTGCCCTGACTTGCTCAGGAGTGAACAGCTCGGTCAATGATACTCCCTTTACTTTTGACTTCCCAGACTTGGTTCCAGATGAAGCATTATCAGCAGGCAGTGTCACATTTTCCTGTTTAGATTGGTCCATCTCTTTGTCACTCATAATGCTTTCTTGTTGAGCAGAACCAGCAGGATCATCTAATATAATAGGGTCACCAACAGGCTTTTGGTTATAGGTGTCATCCATATTGTCCTTCATATCATTAATATTAGGACTTCCTTGCCAAGTACTTAAAGGAATTTCCATCTTCACTTCTGTAACTTCAGATTTCATTGGCATACTAGTGTTACCATGTTGATATTCCAGACATTGTGCGTCATGGATTACACGAGATTCAACACTGGTAGGAACTGAAACGGCAGAACTTTCACTTTCAGGAACAAGAGACTGTGATGGATGCTCAGTCTTTACGCGTTTCAGCCGTAAACCTTCTGAAGTTTCAACTGGTGGATTTGTATTTGAAGTAAATCTAGCTACAGAGTCTCCACTATCATATGGTTTACATGATCCATTGATTGAACATGGCAAGCCAGAATTAGAATCTGTACAAGCACGTGCTTTCAGTTGTGTTTCTATATAACTCTTGACAGGAATACAAACAGGGCATCCCAGGTCCCTACAATGCTTGTGATGATTAAGTAATATCTTTGTATGGTGGCAACGAGGAAAAGAACATTGCGACACATTGCAGCAGTCCATATGCTTCCAAAGTTTCTGAGCAGTTATGCAGTTAACTTCCTGGCATTTCCCTTCTGGGGCCATACATCGACGGGCATGCCGCAAAAACAACAACCACCTTTGTTGATTCTTGAACTGCCGTTCACGGTTTGGATTACCAGATCTACACGTAGCGCCACCTGAATTTTCCAGCTTTGCTGTTCTTGTAACAACAGTTTGACTAATAGATCCTTCTGAAGATAAATTATTGCGCTGAGCTTCATCTTGCACAGTTATTCTCTGATGGAATTCCTCTTGAATATTCTGCTCATGCAAAAAGTTCGCTGGTACTTGAGACCTGTCCTGCGACTTGGGATGCCATTGACCTGGCAGTAGTCTATCTGATTGTACTCCAACAGGAAGACAGCTAAATTCATTTTGAGAGTCAACCAATTGGTGAGGATGCAACAATTGTTGCATCTGTTGTGAAGTTTGCGTAAGTGACGAGCATATATCCTGCGAGACAGATGGAAGAGAAAGCAACTGAGAGCCTCCAGAATGATCGTCAGCAGAAGCTTGCTGGAGTTGGTTCTGCAGCTCGGAAAACTGGAACTGTTCTGAAACTTGTGAGTTCAGAGATTCATTGTGGTACTCCATTCCAGGGTCAGGCTTTAGTTGATTCCCTAGATCAGAAGTCAGCTGAGAATGGCCAAAAGAATCGTTCTTTAACAATATCTGGTGCTGCTGAATTTTCTGCTTCTGTTGGCGTTGATGTTGAACAAATTGTTGTTGTAACTGATGAGGCTGCTGCTGAAACTGTTGCTGATGATGAGACTGTAAGAGACTCTCTCGCAGTGAGTTTGAGGCTTGGAAATTCATTTTTTCAGATTGATCAATTGATTCAGACTTTATATGTGTAGCCTGCTGGGTGGTATGCAAATTCGGCTGATTAGTCATCAAAGGAGAGTTGGTTCTGGACATAGACTGCAAGTTTGCTGGATTCAAATTTTGATTATTCATTGCTGAACCAGAAGAGGTTACAGGACCATAGAAGTTTCCAGACCCAGAAGAATTGGGAGTGTTCATCCCATAACCATCACCTGCCAAATATATTATGAGCAGTAAGAATGCAGTTCTATTCAAAAACTACAACTTAAAGGTCATGTCCTCCACAAGTTTCTGGAGGCTGGAAGGTGACATGTCATACATTACAAGATGTACCATACTGAAAATAAAAGAGTACCCTGCAACTTTGGTCGCTGATGTTGATCATAGTGTTGTTGAAGAGGTTGGGGTGAATTGCCATATGTTGTTGCCGTCAGATAGCCCTCAGAAGTTACAGGACCATTGATCATCTGCAAATTGCTCCGCATCATACCCAAACTACCATTTAAAGCCCCATTTGAAAATCCGTAAGATTTCGGCTGCAAACCAGACCTAATTCCGCCACCTATATGGCTACCAAGGTTGTGTAGTATCCGGCTGGTTTGACTCCCGACATGCTGCTTTTGTGGCAGTGTCTGTGATGCAATTGTAGATTCAACAGTTGAAAAAGCACCAGTATTATTGGAAGACTCCAAATTCATGTAAGATTGATTATTGTTGCTATTAAATCCAGGAGTAGGGATCATTTGGCTTGTCATTCTTTGTACACCAATTGAGGATGCCATGTTGTTTCCACTGGAACTCATGGAATAATTGGCAGGTGACTGTTGGTATCCATTAGACATAGCCCCTGCAAAAGTAGGTTCTATTACATTGCGTGTTCGAAGAGAAATTATAAATACTGACTTGGAGGAAATCAAAGTTCAAGTACCATCAGATGAATTGAAAGAACCACCATGTATCCCAACAGAAGACCCATTAGCAGTAGGCAGTAAGCTTCCAGTATTGACAGCCACAGATGGCATGCTATTACCACCACCGGTAGCAATCATGGAAGTATCTACAGCCGATGCAACAATCATGCTAGAATTCCCACTATGAGGCATACCTGGGGTTGGTATCATCGTACCAATAGGAGAGGGAGCATTAACAAGGTGCGGATATTGTTGGTTGTGAGTACTCATTGGTAAACGCTTAATCAAAACATGTAAACGATTCTCCAAAGTCTCCAGGTTCACATACTCCTCCTAGCGATACAAGAATGCCCATATTATAAATAAAACACACAAGGGTCGACATAATAATATAGCAAACTAATTGGTAGTTAATTATTTTTTTATTTTTTTTAAGTTGTTCAATAATGCAAAAGATCCTTTTGGCATTAACACAAAAAAGAAGAAGGGAACAGTCACTCTATGCTATTACTCAATTGAAAACAAGGGAATAATTTGCATAAAGATGAAAACATAGGACAACTATAAAAAACCTTAGTGGCAGCATTTCTGAATAGACCCTCGTCTAGGCGTCTTACAATATCCAGAACCCGCTTTGGTGGTATATCATGAGTTTGCTGCTGCCGCTGCATAAGAAAATCATAGCTGGAGGAAAGGAGATACAAAGTTTGATCAGTATTCAATGCTATATGAAAAATCTTATAGACATGCACCACACAAACAATATGGAGTCATCCATCTTAAATACATAATTAAATATCAGAAACAGGAATAATAAATAAATAAATAGACGCAGGAACAGAAATAATAACTTGGCAGGAGTGTCTACTTAAGCAGGGCCCATTGTTGGGTGCAATTGTAAAAGCTTGGACTACCAAACATGAGAATGCAGGTTCAAGTCTAGCAGTAATTAGTTTGTGCAACCACCCAGTGCACTCCTCCCAGCATCTTTTCTGAGGGGAAAATACGGGAGGGAAGGGTTGTCTATTGAGGACCCATTAGGCTCAAATTCCATGCAGAAATTATGTGATATAGAAGATAGAAAAAGACGAACCGCAATGTTACAAAACTAGTAAAGTTTTCTTGCAAATCATTCAATGCTGTAACAAGCAATTTTTAACCACGTAACTTGCCTTCCCAAAAATAAAATCTACAGTGCATAACTTCATATACTAGCAAACATGTATTTCTAACATGTGATTCCTCATAAATTAACATTGTTGAGCACCATTTATTTATTTAGTTTTTTGATAAATAAGCAAATATTATTGAGAAAAAATATTATTGAGAAAGCATCAAGATGATGCAACAAATCCAATAAGGCCACCCCAATTTGGGGAGAACAAAAACAAGTGCTAACCACTCACCTCATCTAAAAAGTCTAAAAAAACAAATAAATCTGGATCTACCTTCCCCTCCAACCAACTACGCATAACTACAAGAAGACGATTTTGTAACCAAGAAACACCATGAAAAACCTCTAAAAAGGTGCGTCTATTCCATTCCAACCAAACATGCCACATCAAACAAAACGGTACCCGTATCCACGCCCGCCGACGTCGACGCCCAAGCCGTACGCCTCGTGAACCCAACCAACCCCAAAAGTGAGCAAACGAAACCCTACAAATATGAAGCCACCGAACAATGAAGAAACAAATGGTCCATAGACTCCGCATCACCACAACACATACAACACCGATTCACTAAAACATGCCCCCAACGCACCAAATTATCCAACGTAAGATTCCGACCTAAGGCTGCCATCCACATGAAAAAAGCAGCCTTAGACGGAACCCCCAGTACCAAGGTTTTAAAAGCAGCCGCAATCGTTAAGTAACGCTGTTACGTAACGGTTGTGGTGGTTACCGCCACCCGTTACGGCCGCTTTTGCAATGTGATTAAGATTCACAGGTGTGTCGGCCGTCGCGGGTGCCATATCGGTCATAACAGTGCCGTAGCGGTCGTAACGGTGCCGTAATAGCCGGTTACGTACCGTTACGTAACGGTTCCGAACTACTTCTTTCGAAAAAACACAAAAAAAAAAAAACTGAAAATGGGAAAAGAGGAATAGAGAGAAGAGGGAATATAAAGAGAGAAGATGGAGGAGCAAGAGATAGAGAGAGAGAAAAGGGAAGATGAAGAACATGTTATTGATTTGTTGAAACTGTAAAACCTATGCTATTCTATTCAGCTACTATCACTCAACCATTTTGTTTGTGTGTGCCTATCTATATATTGTTTGAAAATAATAATAATAATAATAGGAAGAAGAAGAAGAAGAAGAAGTGTGGTCATTATCTATTTGGCTTGGTTAAAATATGTATGTATATATATATTTAAACTCTTATTTATTTTCTTACTTTTGTCATTGTTTATCTTATATATAATAGTTAGTGATTGATTTTTTGTATAATATAAAGTCATTAATTATTAAAATAAAATGTAAAAACTTAGTTTATAGTAATTTAAAAATATGAAATATATTAGATCATACTTAAAAATTTATAAAAATTTATCAATATTTATTTTAAACCCAATAAATATGATCATGGAAAAAAAATATGCCTATCGGTAAGTTTTTTTCAAATTGTGCCAAAAATAAAAAAATTCGCGGTTCTGGGTACCGCAACCGTTGCACTACGGCCTTTACACTCCGCAACCACAACCGCAACCGCGCCACCGCCATCGTTACGGCGACCGCAACCGCTTTTCAGAACCTTGCCCGGTACCCAAACACTTTTTCATGTAAAGATCCTACCACAGTCCCCCACCAAACCCCAATATAATGATGCTACTGTAAATTAACATTGTTGAGCACATTTGACATAACTTAAATGATGAAATCTCCATAAAGAGGTCTCGTGTGGACCATTTTACGGTGGAGATTGCTAAACTGAAACACAAGTTGGGGCAAATTACATTCAGGCCTTTGGTTAGGGTGTAATGTTCTTTTACACCATAGTGTTTATTGGTCATCACTCTTTAAAAACAAGATACATGCAGCTAGCAATTAATTTGAATATCACACAAATAATACTCCATCTTTCTGAGAACAAGCTTTCATCCTTAGACTTTGCATTCAATGGTTAAACAACACAAGTCAAATAGCAACCCACATGCCACACCATGCTAAAGCTAAATGATAGTATAACTTGGTTGACCCACAGGGTGATGACATACACAACATATGAAAGAAGCATCTCTTTTTTCCCCTCTAGAAAAGAAAAGGAGTAATGAGTGTCTGTTTTTTTCTTATTTATTAATTTTCATTTAGAAAAAATTATTGAGCAACATAGCAATCAGTTGGTATTGAATAACACGTAAAGACTGATAGTGTCATGTCATGCGAATGTGGTCATATTAAAGTTGCCTAAGTTGATACCTGATTTCTTGCTAGACTTTTCTAATGTAACCTAATTTCATATAAAAAAAAATGCTGCCATTTTTTGACCCATTGCATCTCCCCTTCAACAAAAGCATGCTCACCCCAACAAACCCATAATGAACATAGCAAATAACTAAGAAATTTCTTACATTTTCTCTTGCATAAATCTGCGAGCTTGCGATACCTCAGGCTCCATATTCAGTGTATTACGCTGACCAGCTAAATTTTGTATATGGTTAGAGAGAGAACTTCCATTCTGGGGAGGTAATCCAGGCAACTGAGTGCCTGCTTGATTAGGTACCTGTCCTGAGATTTGTCCTGACATATGTGCCTGCACATTCATCTTTATTCTGTAGGCTCCTAAATACCAAGAACAGCAGAACTCAAAATTTTACACTTCCACAATCTACATGAAAATCCCATGTCACATCACCTGCAAAGATGAATCTTCATCTATTCAATGCTGTTATGAGTAATGAACTAATACATATATCATATAAACAATGATCACATGCTCCGTACCAAAAGAATGTAAGAAATTCCAGTCAACTATGAAATTATTTTCCAAACTCAAGCAATACAAGTCATGAAGAAAAGGCATTATCTTATGGGTTAAAAATTAAGGCAAATACAAATTACAAAATTGTAATATGACTAAACAAAGATATATTAATGGGAACACAACAATTCTTTGGTAAATAAGTGGGAGCACAAAATAACAAACATAATGTACAACGGCGTAAAATCTGGAAAAAATAAATAAATAAACCAAGAATAATGTGAATTATCACAGTACAACAAATGAAGATCTTTGATCCGATGTCTCTAAACCTAAATAACATTCCTGAAGCTGCTATTATCCTCCACCTGCAACGATGGCACTCAATGCTTTCAAATGTACTTCCACCAATGAACTTATTATAGCATTAACATTTTTATTTGCAAATCATGTTGCTTAACCACATAGCATGCAAAATATATATTTTTCATATTTTATTGCCTCGGGACTGTTGCTTGCTTTTTAAGATTATACCAAAATCTACCGCACAAGTATTTATTCAATCTAAAAATAACTTGTTGGTCTGGTTTGAATGGCATAATTAGAACTAACGACTTGCTTGTATCCTCCAGATCTTAGTCCAAGGGAAACCATTTCTATAAAGTGTTGAAACAAACAGAGCAATTAAAATTTTCCATACAAGTAAAGGGATTTCGAACATTAAATGCTAACATACGAAAATCACCACAACAAGAAGAATATATCGGGCAAGTTTTCCCAAAAAAGTTGTACAAATATGATAAAACCATGGAAGCAAATCAATGCCAGTCCAAAAGATGAAAGTGGTCAGGTTTTGGCAAGTTTACAAAAAAGATTAAAGAGAAAGGGATTAATAATTTCAATGATGAAAAGTAAATAATCTACACTTGGAAAGTCATGTCCACATATGATTGAAAACATGGGATTATTCATGTCAGTACCATGCTTTATGGCCCAGGTACCTTTTGAATTTCCTAATCAGCAGAATCTCTCAAGATCCCAACAAGTTTACTAATGTTTGCCTCGACTGATCATTTTCTATTCCAATTTGGATCCAAGTTTGAGTTAAGTTAACACAAACTGGGAAGTTAAAACGTCACCTACAATAACATTTAGGCACTGTATTTTTACAATATACAATAAAGGGGTCAATGGAACCCGCACTTTCTTGCAACAACTGAATGAACATACTTCAAAGAAAACTAGGTTTGTTTTCTTTTTCTTTTCCCTTACATAAGCTAAATGCAGCCTTGACAATAACAACCATTGGAGCATTAGTGGTGATAGTTGCACCACAGCCCCAGAGATGGCTAATGTGGTGATAGTTGCATTAACAAGGGAAACTGATGCAATAAGAGTTCATGTGAGTTAGTGAGATTGTTATGTTTAGTGTGTTTAGTTTGCCTTTGGCCTGTAATTGGTGGTTAGGGCCTTCAGTAGTCAGTTTATGAGATTTTGACATTGTATTTGTGAGCTCGAGAGCTCTTGTATCTCCAATTGAGATTTTTCTCTCTAATGGAATCCCTTCCCAAATTTGGTCCATCATTTTGGTATCAAAGCAAAGTTTAGGTCATTTTTGCCTAATTTGTTGCTTCAACAATTTCATGATTCAAGAATCTATCTAACTCAAATTCGAGTTGATTGAGAGAGATACTCGTATTTGCTTTGAAGAGAATAAAAATTGCCCATGACAGTTTAGCTGTAACACGCAACTAGATTTCTATCGACCTACTTCGATTCAAGTCGAATATGTTTATAGTGGAAATATGATGCCTTGCAAAGCCTACTCAACACAATTTATCAATGTACAAGTTGGATCTTAGCCAAATCTTCTCAGATTGTGCAAATTGTTCAACCTAGAGGTTCGGTTTAGACTTGTGATCTCACCATAGAGGCTTGATCTCACTTGTGATTTCAAATCAAACTTGAAGACATGCATCGACTTTGGTGCCTTAGGTCTCCCATATAATCAATCGCAGATTTGACCTAAAATTGTATAAACTAGGTTCCACTTTCACAACTTGACTCTGGAATCACGATTCAAACTCTCAATCTAGACTCTCTTGTTATCAAAGCCAGCTAAAACGACTATGAAACCCTAGGTTGACTCTGATTTCAGTTTGCGTTGCGATTTCAAAGGACTACTATGGAACCCTATCAAAGATTGTGAACTGCACTGATTTGATTGTCATCAAAGTAATCGAGTTGAGATCTCCCTTCATTACTTTTATTCGCGATTTGTCCAGGAGTCAACTTTGTTTTTCTTTGGAACATCAATTTTGATTTGGAGCATTTGCCTTTATTTGACTAAGTAAATGAGTTTACAGTTCTTTGACTCAATGAGTGAGTTACAATTTTTTGGTTTAATCAAGACTTGAAGCAATACAGTGCACTCTTGTTTATTGTAGAGTTAATTTGATGACCCAACGAAGTAGAGATCAACAAGGAGGGAGAGGAAAAGCTTTTTCCCTGCATTTGGGTAAAGATGTGGACATGAATCATCAATTGGAAGAACCAATGATAAACCAAGATGAAAGGAATGAGGTTGAAGAGTTGAGTAAACAAGTTTCTTCTTTGATCGGAAGAGTGCAATGGTTATAACTTCTCACCGAATGTAGTGATGAATCCAAGGATCGTCAAATTGCATTTGATAATCCACTTGATGGTCCGCATTGGGGTAGAACATATTCCAATGAATTTGAGTCTACACGGGATTATGAAGTCAAGGATTTTGGATTTCTCAAATTTCATGGGAGCTACATTCTAGATGTGTTTCAAGAATGGTTAAACACAATTCAGAGTCTCCCTTTTTAATAAAATTTTTCTTTGTTGCTGATTAAAAAAAAACCACACACACACACAATCGAGAGTCATTTGGAGTATCATGATGTGCCGTAAGGAAAGAAGGTGATATTGGTCTCTCCACGCCCTAAAAGTAGTACCTCCAATTGGGGGAAACAACTACAAGTTTGTAAACAAAGAAAAGGCAAATACAAGATTAAAGAGTGAAAGAAAATGAGAAAAAAGATTAATGAGCAACTTTTGCCATCCAATCACGTGCAACCTTCATTGGTTGAGAAGCAATAAAGAAAGAGTGTTTCAAGTTTCGGACATCAATACGAAAGCATCATTGATTTTGGACAACCATTCTATGACTATGTCCAAGTCTGTTATTCAACTAGTGTTGGAATGAAGGAGACTTTTGACAATGAACATCATCATAAGGTACTCTTTAGTGAAGAGGTTGTAGAACCAAGATATGATGATGAGGACGCATCCATCTTTAGTGAAGAAGATATGGAAGAAGATTATGATCAAACACAAGGTTGGTATCAAGATGTTCCTATCTTTGACAAAGAGGTAGAGCAAGATTACGATCAAGATGTTTTCCCCTTTGATGTGTCAACAAGTGAGGAGTTGGATTATGAAAAAGCTAATGCTTGTGCATATGAAGAGAAAGGTGATGCTTGTGAATAAGAGGGAGTTCCAATCTTTGACCATTATGATGATGAGAACGACCTTCTTGTAGAGAGTGAAGGTGCGCTATTGAAGATCAAGCAAGTTTTGTTGCTTACCAATTGCTTCCCATGTAAGAAGATGTGGCGGAAAGCCAACTTTCCACTTCAATGGAAGCTGAGGAGGTGAGTCATATACTTGGTCTAAAGGGGTTAGACGCAAGGCTTCGAGAAGTAGTTGCGGTCGCCGTAACAGTTGTGGTGGCGCAGTTACGGTTGTAGGGTGTAAAGATCATAACATAACGATTGCGGTAACCGGAACTGTAAATTTTTTAGTTTTTCGCACAATTTTAAAAAAACTTACCGATACGCATTTTTTTTTTCTTTCTAGAATCACATTTATTAGGGTTGAAAATAGATTTTGATCAACTTTTGTTAATTTTTAAATATGATCCAATATATTTCACATTATTAAGTCACTATAAAAGAAGTTTTTACATTTTATTTCAATAGTTAATGATTTTAAAAATAATTGATTTTAAATATCCACAAAATTATTTTTGACCAATACCAGAAATAACTGAATAAAAAATATTTACAATTATTAAATGAAATGATTATAAAATAAAAATTGTACCATAAATAAAAATTATTTTTGAGCTAATGATTTTTTTTTAAAGACATTTTTTTAAACAACACTTTACAGCTAACTAAATAAAATTATTTACAATTAAGTATTAAATGAAATGATTATAAAAATAAAAATTGTGCCATAAGCAAAAATTATTTTTGACCTACTATTTTTTTTTTTTAAGACATTTTTTAGACAACACATCATAGTAACAAAATAAAAAATATTTATAATTAAATATTAAATGAAATAATTATAAAAATAAATACAACCATTATTTATATATTTTTTATTTTACATGCTAATGTGATGAAATAAAAATAAAAAAATAAATTATAAATAAAAAAAATCATACAAGGTTTTTTCTTTTAGCTTAGATCACTTGAGTATTTGTTATTTTTTATAAGCTTTTTTTTCTTTTTTCCTTTTTTTTTTTTGGAAAAGAAGCTATTCAGAATATTATAACAATGTGTAATGGGCTGTTACGGCCGTTACACATGTGAATTTTCATCACATCACAAAAGCGGGTGTAACCAGAGTTTTAAAAGGCTTTCCTGAGACTCGCCTTGATGCTCGCCTCGCCTCGAGACTAAGGTAAAACGCATCAAGGCTTTGATTCTTAGGCATTACTCCCCAAAGGCTTGCGCATCACAGTTTGAGACATGCGCCTTAAGTGCGCTTTGTACGTTTTTTGCGCATAAGCATGTGAGGAGTACGCA